TAGTGCTATGACAAGAGGTTTATGCCATCTGTGGTCCAATGATCTTGTCTTCACAGGGCATTTCATAGCAGTGGCTTCACCAGGATTGTCAAGGACTAACTTTCTTACACCAATATGAGCAGATGGGCCTGAAGAGTCAGAAATTGCTTATCAGCCAAAAGCATGGCCTATCTGGAAAGAACACCTAGGTGGGAAAATGATGTGTATCCATTTTAAGACATGGGAGCTGTTTCTTAGCTGTTTCTTAGATAACTATGAGTTAATCCCAAGAAGAATCTAGTAAACATCCAGGCCCCAAGAGCCAAACTCTGCATGAGGGATGGAGAGAAGAGATTTTGCCCCCATGCCTTCACACAACAACCTGGCTTGTGCCATCTCGATGCTTGCTCTTTCCACTTCCCAGCGGATGCTAGAAGCATGGGTTATGCTTTATGGGCACAGATCCTGGAGGCTAAGAGACCTATCCAAGAGGCAGAGGGAGGCACTTAGAACAGTACTGCAACCCACAGGCTTTGGAACCTGGCCTCTTGGCACTAGTCCCTGTGCCATCACTCAGCTGTACACCCATGGGTAGGTAACTTCACCTCATCTGTAAATTGTGGTTAGTAGTAGTACCTACTTTACTGGGTTGTTGACAGGAGGAAATAGAACAGTCAAGTTGAGTGTTGACAGCTAGACCTGGTCCATGATAAGTCTTCAGAATATGTGAGTTTCCGGGGGGCTGTGGTGTCCCAGAGCAAACCTGAATCTTTGCCAAGTCCTTCTTCAAGAGCTTAGTTAGTACATGAATACCACTGAGGGTGGGGGAGCCAGTACCTCTTAAACATCCATCCACTTGCAGGTAGGTCTGTTTCTTAGAAAGCTTTTATTTGAGTTGAACCTAAATCTTTCCTGAATTCTTTCCTAGTTGGTTTTAGTTCCACCCCTAGGTCATACAGAAATCATCTTTCTCAAAATAGTTGTTCAAATCATGTGAAAATCAATACTATGAGCATCCCTGCTTATATTCTTTTCTCATGCCACAAGTTTTGTCTTTTCCTGACAAAACATCTTCACTGTCTTCTAATAATCTTTGAATGATGTGGTTCCCAACTTCTTCATTATTGTGGTTTCTGTCTTCCCAAGGCACCCTGTGCTCACACGTGGGATATAGCTCCATGTGTGTTAAATCTGAGTGCGTGTCTGAGACACAAAGACGAGAAGATATGACAAGATTCCAGGAGCTCCCAGGCAGGCAGATAGCATTCCAGGCAGGGAGAGCAGTGTACTGAGCTGCAGAGGCAGGAAACCAGACACCTCCAGATGGTCATCTCATTGCTGGAGTGTACGATGCAAACTGGGAATCATAGGAGATCAAACCGGGGAAGGAGACAAGTTTGACCTGAAGGTGATAGGGAATCACTGGAGCACTTTCAGAAGTCACAGCTTCCCATGTGTCCTTTAGTAAGAGAAATCCTAACTGCAGCATGAAGACCAGGCAAACCTGAAAACGGGGAGACCAGTTCACCGAAGGGCAGAAACCAAAAGGAGAGAGAGAGGGAAAATGAATCATGTACCAAAATGTCCAAAATATATACCAAGAGGCTAACAGATGTTATCTTTGGACAGTGAGACAATGAGTAATTGCCATGTGCTTTTTGCTTTCTTGTGTTTTCTAATTTCTTTTTCATAAGGATTTTTTATTTTTTATATACTTAGCATGTATTATTTATATAATAAAAATAATTTATGCATATCTAAAGATAGTTCAAAATCAAGCCAGCAGGATTTGGAAACTGATCAGAGGGAGGATCATGGGAAATTTGTTTATTTGCCCTGGTGCTCAGGTGGGTGGTACATCCACCAAAGGAGGTGGGGACATGAGGAGCAGAGCACTACATGGGAATTCTGATGGCATAGCTGAGAGCTGGGGCAAAGCCCACGGGCTGCTCTGACTTTCATTTGGCCTTTTCATGCCCTGCTTGTTTTCTGTCCCCTACCCTGCAGGACCCAAGGCTCACTTGTCCATTCTCCACTGGCCTGGATATCAGACTCCACTGCAGCAAAGCTCACCAATGCTCTGCGGTGGCAATAGCATTGATTTAGGTGACAAGTCTGTCACTGCTTCAAAATATCTGATTGAGTACCACAAGGATGCTCTGCATTGAGCCAGTCCTCAGTAATAAAACAGCGAGAAGAGCAAGCTTAGTCCCTGCCTTCACAAAGCTCAGCCTTGTGTGAGAGACAGAGTAAATGTTTTAGGGTCACTTTAATAAACACACCATTTCAAACCAAGAGAAAAACATGAAGGAGAGGAAGTAGTTCTAGGAAGATGTATAAGCAAGGAAGCATTTCCCGTCTGGCAGTTTAGGGAAGGAAGCCTAGGAAGAGAGACGCAGGAGCTGACAGCTGAAGGATGTGGAAGGGAGAATCGGGGAAAGTGTTCCAGGCAGAGGGAATATATGTGGCAGCCCTGAGAGGGGAGGACATAAAGTCATGCTTTGCTGACCCATGAGGCTGCATTCTGAGGGGTGCACTGTTGGCTGATTTCTTCATCACACGGACATCCCAGAGTGCACGTACACAAACCTAAATTGCATGGGTTAGCTACTCAATGCGGCCTCTCCATGCAACCAAGAGATGTAGGGAACACGAGATGCAGGAAACAGGCTCCTGCTAACATCACGTGGCAGGCAGTTTTCACAAGCAGGAGGGAGCACACTCTAAAACAATGATAAAAGTATAATAGATACATAAGCTAGTCACATGGTCATCCATCATCATTATCACGTATTATGTGCTGTTCATAATAGTATGTGCTATAGTTTCATATCACTGGCTGTGTAGTAGGTGTGTTTACACCAGTATCACCATAAACATATGAGTAATGCTTTGTGCAATGATGTTACGACAACTACAATGCCACTAGACGACAAGAATTTTTCAGCTCCTTGTGGGACCACTGTATACATGGGATCCATCATTAACTGAAATGTCTCTCTGTGTTGCATGACTGCATAGCACATTTGAGTCTGAAAGAGGGACTCTTTGACTGGAACCCAGGGATAGGGGCAGAGCTGGAAAGGACTGGAGAAGGGGGTAGGGTCACATCCTACAGGCTGTAAGGAGGCACAGGAGGATACTTGTCCTTGTCCTAGGAGTGAAGGAGGCCATTCTAGGTTTGGAGGCCGGAGGTGGCCTTCTGACCAGCACTGATGGCTGTGCCACTGATGGCCTAACATGACCCCTCACTCATGGAGCAGATGCGGGGGCTTCCCTCCCGGTCCTGTGAGGAGCCCTTAGGAACTCCCCACACAGCCACCTCTGAAAGTTGCTTTGCAGCCCAGCTTTCTTCATGGCTTCCCATACTTTAACCCTAATGTGTGTACAGCTTGCTAATTAACGGAATCATTTAGATCTGAAAACATCTTGTTCTAATGGGAGGCTGCAAAGCACTCTCATTAATTCACAGGTAAAATTATTCTAGCTTTTCTCTTTTTATCCCCCCTTTCTTCCCAGCTTGACTTAATAGCTAGAGAGAATTCTTCTAATCAGCCTTTAGAAAATCATTTCATCGGGGCCCTGAATGCTGGAGATTGCCTTGGGGTCAGGGTGAGGGTGATGCAGCCTTGGTTCACCCAGCAGAGAGGGCGGAGGATGAATGCAAAGAAGCTTTCGCTCTCTGAGAGGTGGAAGGTCCTCCGTGGCTGGGAGGAGGGAACAGTGGGGGAGTGGGGAAGTTAGACGCCACCAGAAGTGATCCGTGTGTGGGATTGAGAGGTGGGTACCCTAACGTGTGTGTGGCACAGGTGGCCCACAAGATGGTTGCTGCACATCTGGCCTAGATGGAAGGAAAGAGAGGCTGCCTGCTCCTCCTTTCTCTCCTAGGCTGTGAAGATTAGGTATATTCGCTGTTGGCAGAAAGCGCACAGGTGACTATCTTGGGGCCAGATGTAATCTGAGTGTGATTTGATGGCAGCCACCTTGCCACCATTTGCAAATGAAGCCCTGCAACATCCTCTTTGAAAGAGTAGCATTTTTGGTGTGTGTCTAACAAAGTTCATGATTTTAAACATTACTAAGTGTACGATTCAGTGACACTAATATATTCATATTGTTGTGCACCCATCATCATCATCCATCTCCAGACCATCATCTTCCCCGACTGAAGTGCCGTGCCCATTGAACAGGAAGTCCCTTTCTGTACGGCTTTTGAATGGAAAACGTTCTATGCCTGGTAGGATTCTCTAGGGAAGAGCAGTCCACTCTCCCCAGGAGAGCCTTCTGAGCTCTTTCCTCACCCAGGCTGAAGGCCACAACACCCAGCTATATCTTAGTGGTGCGTGAGTCTTAGCACCAGCAGTCCCACACTCCTGGGTGCCTGTCAGCCAGGCCAGTCCCTGTTTCATAGCACCAGGTCGGCCATGGGCGCTAGTCATCCCACTGTGAAGAGATAAGTGCCTGCCTGACTACCTCATCAGAGTGAGTTCTCACTGTACTGAACTCTGCTCTAGGAGCAAACTCTTTTCTGTGTTGTCTCTAAAATGGGATATTAAAAAATTTGATAGTAGCTAGGCGTGGTGGCGCACACTTGTAATCCCAGCACTCGGGAAGCTGAGGCAGGAGGATCACCACGAGTTTGCGGCCAGCCTGGGCTACAGAATGAGTTCAAGGCCAGCCTGCACTACAAAGCAAGACTCTGTCTCAAAAAAAAGAAAAATTGATAGTTGTGGATAAAGACAACACATTCTTGCACAAGGAAGTACACCATCTGCTGGACATTTTATTCGGATATGCTTCTAAGACAGATTTGGAGTCAGGCCAATCTGGAGTTAGATCCCCGCTGTATCACGCACTGACTATATAACCTGGAGCCTCTGTTTCTGCCTCTTCAAATGGGGCATTTGATACCCACTCCTAGGTTGCCAAGCAAGGTGCATGAGATTACATCAGTGCGGCTTCCATGCAGCACTGGGTCGGCAAGTTCTCGCTGCTGTGACTGTTGATGACTGTCACCCTAGGTCTCCAGGTGGTCCTGAACTCTATCATCAAGGCCATGGTGCCCCTGCTGCACATCGCCCTGCTTGTGCTGTTCGTCATCATCATCTATGCGATCATCGGCCTGGAGCTCTTCATGGGGAAGATGCATAAAACATGCTACAACCAGGAGGGCATTGCAGGTAAGAGGAGGGTTCTGGGCACCAAGCTCCCCAAACCCTGTTTGTTTCCTGTAGCTGTTTCCTGAGAAGCTGGACGTATTACCAGGCACATTACTACCTGTCCAGAAGAGCCAGGTGAGGCCCTTTCATCCAAAGTCCTATGTTTCCAGGCCATGGCTGAGTTAGAGGCGGGGACAAGTGTTCTTTTCTTCTCATTCCAATTTCTGTTTTCATGAAACAGATCTCAATTAAAGCAGCCAAATGCTGGCTTTATCCAGCACTACTAAACACTATAGAGCTATACAATGTACAAACATTTAATGAAGTAAGAACCTATCTTTCTCTCTGTTTGGAGCTGACATTTAATATCAGAAGATTCCATTCTAACCTGCCTGGTACATCACTGTGGCTCGCCATCCAAAGCCCTTGCGGGAGGGCAGTATGCCATCCCCCATCACAACCCTAAGATCCATCCCCTTCTTGGGGATGATCCTGGCTGCTCTGCAATTAATGTTTTCCTCTCCATTCATTAGCAGGAATGCCCTGGGGCCCTTCCTATGGTGGATGAAAGGGCAGGTATAGAATCACTCCCTTACCAGTGGTAAATTTCTTCTCCTCGAGGAAAAGGTTTAGATCCATCCCATGGCTGTCAGTCCACTCTTCTCTGGGGCTCCTCTAATCATGTTTCTTCTGCAAATCAATGCACTCATCAAGAGATGCTGGCTTATTAAGCACTTCTTTGAGTGGGCCAGAGCTTGGGCTTGTGGGATATATGCTGCAAACTGCTGTCTTAAATTACTAACATCTCAGCTTGATCTTCAAACAGAAATCGACAAGGCTTTTAAACAGACATACAAAAGAGTTTGACACAAACACTTGTTGGGGAAAAAATCCCCACCTAAAGGGATTAGCAGTGTTAAATTTATTTTTTTTATTTCCAAACAAAATCTGTCATCTTAGTGTTGGGCATCTTGGTGGAGAGGGGGGAGGGCATCTATCTGGAGCATTTAAGAACACCTCTCCCCTCTGCATTTGTACTGCTTCTTGTTCTCATTCAGCCCAGGCATTAAATTAAATTTGGCTTCTCTTGCTTTGGGGAGTGAAGTTGGAAAGCATCTCTACAATGAAGAGTGAAATGGATAATTCACATTCAGAAACCTAGATAGACTAACTGGTATACATGGGTTGGGTACTTGCAAGGTTGCTGGGTCACTGCCATATTGTCATAGTCCTAAAAAACAAGCAAAAGGACTAGAAACCTGTAGTCAAAGAATTGCCCAATTTTTTTTATTTTTTTATGGTATTTCTTTTTAAGAGAAGACTGTTCACTCAAGAGAACTTCCAAATTACTTGGACCAAAACTGTATAGCATAAATTATCATGTTTTAAAATATATTTTTTAATTGGAAAAAAACTCTTGCCTTCATCTAAAATTCTGAGATTTCAAACTTGCTCAAAGAAATACCAAGCAATATAATGAATATTTCCCCTCTAATTCAAAACCTTCTTATTACTCAGTTCTATCTATAGCTAGACTTGAACCATGAATGTATATTAATGAGGGCCGGGGATTTACCTCAGTGGTTCCAGCGACTGCCTCACAAGCGCAAGGTCCCAAGTTCGATCCCTGGTACCAAAAAAAAAAAAAATTTATATTAATGATGTGACTTTGTTGGCATTTCAGTCTCAGACTACCTTAAGAGTTGATACTAGTGTGTATAAAGTTTACATAGTTGTATTGAAATGATCAATGATCCATTGACTCAAACTCCTCAGGCAGTCACAGAGATACAGAATCTTCAAGATTTCCCTTCAGTTTGGCAGTGATAGCTGGTGAGACCCTTACTAATCAAATAGGGAAGAGGAAATCATGAAATTCTGCCATAGAACCAAAGATGGCAACCCTTCCATCAATAGCTATGCACCATAAAGCCAGGGAGAACTGCTGGTCCTTTCTACCATCCTAATGGGAAAATAGCAAAAGTATGTTTTCTACTGGTGGTGAGAATCATGTAAGTTTTCTAAAAATAAACAGCCTGGAATAATCACTAGAAATCATCTGGCTTTGTTATCAACCCTCAGTGGCCTCAGAAAGCAAGAAAATGGTGAATGTCAAAGACGAAGAAAACACATGGACTCTTCTCCCATAAACACAGCCAGAGGGTTCAGTGCACACTTTAAATGCCTCTTCGGCTCTTAGAATAATGACCACACGTGACCTCATCCACTGGAGTGGCCAATTTAGGATCATATTATCCTCAGTAGTAAACCCAACTAAGAAAAGTCCACTTGCTATCATAAAACACATCAGATTATTTGTGTGATGGGTTTCGTCTTTATCCCACAAGTTCAGAAGAGAAGTGGGTGCCTGTAATATATATGACCATGAGCTGGGGTGTCAAAAGGCAAGAAGAGGTATTTCCCGGAGAGGAGCTACGTCAGGCTCACCAGGAAGGTAACCCGGCTCTAGTGTGTGGAGCCAGAGTCCCTGCAGGAAAAGCGGCTGGGGACACTTAGCTACAGAAGCTGCCCTCCCAAACACTCTGTGATCGGCTCACCCACCTCCTTCTTCCTACACCTCCTGTCGGATGACCATCCAGGGACCTACTCCATCATTCCCAACCGAGAAGGATACCACTGTCATCAGGGCCTTGTCTACCCACACTGTGACTAACCCTGATGAGGAGGAAGAGGTGGCCAGGGATCTGGACACACTCAATACATCTGTAGCAGATAACCAAAACTAGCACTCTTTGGAGCCATCCCAATGTCTCGGAGTTTGGTAAACCTTTGAAATGGGTGTTTTTGGTTTTCATTTTCTGTTTGGTTTTAGATTTCAGACTTTGAATTTTTGTATTCTCTGCATGTTTAGACTAAACGAAAGTACTTTGTGTGTCCTTGTTACAATTCTGAATGGAATTTCTATCAAATTATTTTTACCCTTTGATATTATTTCACAGACTGATTTTCAACTTCAAGATTTTAGAATACAATGGATTTTGAGCCACATTTTCTGTAAAATCCATATGAGATAGCCATGGGTGGGCCAGGTGAGCCATTGTTCTCTCTCCAGGCAGTCCTTTCAGTGGGCAGTCCCCAGTGGAGACAGTCTCTGCAGAGGCAATTTTCCCCTACTCCCTGGGGCATAGCCAAGGCCCTCTCTTGATTCTCAACAGACACATCGCCATATGCCAATACCTTTTGTTTCTGGCTGTCCCATCTGCCTGCTGGTTCTCAGAGCCAGGTCACTCTGAATAGCTCTAGCAAGCACAATAATTACCCCTGAGACTAGCAGAGACTGGGTTGGCCAAGATCTACCAATGAAATCACCTTCCTTGTATTCACTCCAGAAAGTTGGGACCTAAAAAGTAATTGATTTTGTCTTTGGCAGTTTCTCCTTGAAACCCCCACCTGGATGGAGCTCTCCCAGGATTTCAGTTCTTGCTGATATTGACTACCTTGCTACATCTCTCCTAATCTTTGCCTCCATCATTTTATCAAAAACTTAATTTGGACTTTCAAGATTGACTCTACCTCTGTCCATTTCTGTGTTAAAATGCAGAGCCTACCTTGCTCGTGGTCCTGCTTCCTTCCTCAGACATCAGGAATCTGCAAAAGAAACCCAACATGTTCTCATGTTTAAGCCAGTTTCCCCTCACCCTAAAGTACATATTGCTAGGACCCGCTGATTTGTGTGTGTTCACATTTTTCAAGTGTTCCCTTTAGTGCTTTTTATAGATACCTATTTTTACCGGATCATTGCTGCTTCTTAATTGTTCTCCAATCTTTTTTATTGTTGTTTAAGACAGATTTAAAATAGCAGAGCGGCACTTGAGCCTGTGGGTAATCTTTCTGAGTCTCATCCCTTTCTCTTTTATTAATGAGATCACTTTCCCTTGATGCCATTTTCTTTTTAACATACGTTTATAAAATCCCAAGTATATTTCCCTTCCTACTGGACATTTAGAATGCATTTTTGGCAGCCTTCCCTTTTACTTATTTCTGCTGTCTTAGGACTTGAGGATTCAGGAAGCTGTCGGGGTAGCCATCACAGTGTAAGGGTTAGCAGCATCTTTAATGCCATGGAGGAGCAAAACATGAGGAAAACTACAAGTTTCCCTTTTTTCCCTACCTTCTCTTTTTTGACCCATTTCTCATGTCATCCCAGCACTTCATCCCAGTACAAAACACATCACTCTAGAAAGCTATTTCTAGAGTGCGTGAGAACCAAAAAGAATTTATGATCTATTTGGTTCTCGCTGTTCTCATCTCTCAACTCTCAATTCTTTAGGCACTCTGCATTTTTAATGTTTTATTTAGGTTTGGGATTCACTTTTTAGTTCCTCTCTCTTCTTTTTTATAGCCTCTTATCCAAATCTCAAAATTTTATAACTTCAAAAGTCACAAAAAATGTTGACCATAGGCCAGCTCAGTTCAGCTATCTTAATATGCAGCCCTTCTGGGATCAGGCCCTGGAATCAGGAAATGGTGGTGTGGACACTGTCATTCCCTCAAACTGCTCACAGATCAGTCATGCAGATGTCTCACCTTGGTCATCAAACAAAGGCCTCACGTACAAGCAGACCAAGAGTAAATCAGGAACACCCCAAACCTGGAAATAATCCAAATGCCCACCAACTGGTGAATGGATAGGCGTGCGATGAAATACCCTGTTCAGCAGTAAGAAGGAACAAAAGTAGGCTAAAATATGCAATGATCTGGACGAACTAAAAAAGGTTCTATTAAGTGAAAGAAGAGGGACATGGCGAACCACATGTGTATGATTTTATTTATATGAAATTTTGAGAAAAACTAAGCTATGAAAACAAAAAGCAGATCGAGTTGTTAGAGGCTGGGGACAGGAGCAGGGACTAACTGCAAACAAACACATGGGGATGGGGGGATTGTTTAAAAATGGATCATAGTGGTCTGGGGTCTTAGCTCAGTGGTGCTGCACCTGCCTTGCACCTCGGTACCTGAGTTCCATCCCAGGTACCGAAGGAAAAAAAATGGATAATGGTGATGGCTGCACAACTGTGTAAATTTACTAAAAATAATCGAGCCATACATTTACACTGAGGAATTCTAAGGCATGGAAGTTATACTTCAATAAAGCTGCACAAGAGAGAGAACAGGAGAGGAGAGGAGAAAACAGAGGAGAGGGTGTGTCTATTATTTTCTAGAAGCTTCCACTTGAAATGGTTGTACTGAATGTGTTGAAATGGTCATTTTTGATTGGCCACTTGACTACGATGCTGATGCTTTACAACAGAACAGGCACTAGCCCTATGATCTAATGGTTGAAGTTATTGGACTTCTCAACTGATGAATTCCTAAGCCCTTAAGTTGTTTAAATTCACATATGAGGAATGAGCTAAACTTGTTTGGCATGTGATTGCTGGTATGGTTTTCCTAGTGATCTCATCCTGTCACTTTTCTCTCTAACTCCTGCTTCTTTCTCTGCCCATCTCCTCCTCTCTCTCCCTTCTGTTCCCCTGCCCTCTTTGCCCTGGCCGTGGAGACGTTCCAGCAGAAGAGGACCCCTCCCCCTGTGCTCTTGAGAGTGGCCACGGGCGGCAGTGCCAGAATGGCACGGTGTGCAAGCCCGGGTGGGATGGGCCCAAGCACGGCATCACCAACTTCGACAACTTTGCCTTCGCCATGCTCACAGTGTTCCAGTGCATCACCATGGAGGGCTGGACCGACGTGCTATACTGGGTGTGTAGCGTGAGTAGCCCTCAGTGCAGGGCATGGAGGCCATGGGCCCTTCCTTGAAACCCCCTTTTGCTCCACCCCACAGTGTTGGGGGCCACACACATCTGAAGGGAATGGTGGATGGATGTCTTGGATTTCTCCCAGGTCTATAATATGTCCCTATTTCCTCCAGACAAATGTCATGTTTAGTTTGTCCAACCATAGTGCACCACGCTGGTGCATAGTTGGTGCCCTGCGAGGGTGCTGCCCATGCCTGGCACAAGAATTCTCATCAACACTTGTCCCACTGGAGAGTCTCTTTGGCCCTTACCTTTTTCCTACCTCCTTCCCCAAAAGAAAGCTACAGGGCCAAATGATGAATGGGTCTAAATAGAAAAATCAGTCCTGGTCTTCTGAAAAGAATCTCTATAAAGGAACCCTTTCTATTGAATCATGTAATATTGTGGCATGCAGTTATATTTTTATTGCTCATATTGGTCTTAGCATAACATAGTAGAATAGTCCATCAAACAAGTGAATTGTCATCATTTTCTCTGTTAACAAAACACTCTGCTGGTTAAGTGATGCATACTTAGAAGTTGTACCTCTTGAGTGCCAGCTCACCATGATATATTTTCTTTCACTTTAAAGATGCCCCTTACTGTCCAGCAGCAGTCACTGCTTTGCTGACCTCCGAGCCCTCACAGTGCCAGATGTGTACATGGTCTATCCCACTGGCAAACACACACACCATATTTGAGCTGTCTCCATTCTGGCAGAGTTGGGTCCATAACTTGTAAAATCTACAGAAACATATATTCTTTGTAGTGCCTCCTATTTCAACATGAGAAGTGACTTGCCAGAACCCAGTGCTGCTCTCCAGAATTTGGTATCTAAGAGCATGTTGCCAATCTTGAAAATATCATCTCTCCCAGAGCTTCCCAAATAGTTAAATCTATTTGGCCATTGTGAAAACAACCCGAGAGGCAGCTTAGGGAACACAGTCTACAAACTCACCCCGGGAAGAGTGAGAAGGAAGCGAATGCCTCCCGCTGAGTGCGCTGCCAGACAGAGAGGAGGTAAATGCCAAGAGAGGTGTTGACTTCCTCCAGAGTCAGAAAGAAGAGTTTTGTAACAGTACAAAAATGTGATGCACAGTATTATAGCTTCTAAAATTTTTTATAAGCACCATGTCCTAATGATTCAAACCTCTCTCTTCCTAGTTTTTACATTGCAGTCAACATGCCAAAGCCCAGCATGGCTCTGAACTTTGTACCTCTCTGTAAGTGACCACTTGAAGCTTGTCTGGGTACATGGTAACCAACAAACATTTGGTGTTCTTGCATGCCTCTGAGGATTCTGTCACCATAGGGTCCAGTTCAGTCTAAGGAGCTCTGTCTAAAGAACAGACTAAATTCTAAAGTGAATAATGGCATACACCAGGAATCCATGCCATGGCACAATTGTGTGTAAGTGTACAACAGAGGACAACTGTTGAATTGCCTAGGCCTCAAAGTAAAATGAAACACTGGGAAACGTTTCTTAGGCTTAGTAAGAACTTGGTTTTGTGTAATTTATAAAACAAAGAGAAGAATCTGAATTATTACACTTAGGCAAACGAGTTCTACTTAGTGAGGAAGGTCAAATTCCCAAAGACCTGAACTGGTCTTTCTACCTTGAGTAAGCTCCTCTGGCCAGCCAAAGACAGGAGCAGCCTTCTCCAAATAGAAAGTTTCCGCCCAGGGGCCACAGTCTCTATGACTGTGTTAGGCTCTGGAGCCTCATCACATGAGCTTCGAGCCCATGCCTTAGGTCGCTATGGAAAAGCCTTCCACCACATCCAATTGAGGGCAGGGTGGCAGGGGTGGGTGTCGATAGCGGGGAATAGGTATAATTTACTTTGCTGATGGCCCTGATGTATTTTTGTGATCTTCCTTTATTACTCCCTCCCTCTCCCTCACCGCAAGTCATTGATACCCCACCAGCCAGATGTGACCCAAAAGAAATACTGTCACAGTGACAGCCAGAGTGGGGACTGGGAAGAAACACACAACTGCAACTACCAATTTTCCGCAGCTGTGTTGTGCTTTGTCCCCGGGGGGGGGGGGGTGATACAGCTTATGCTGGGAATGGAAAAACCGTCGGAGGTGAAGGAATGGTCCCAGGCCTGTGGGACGTGCCTCGCTCTGATTTTCCCAGCACCTTCCTCAAATGGCCATGTTATGTGTATGTATGCACATGTGTGTGCATGCACAGGAATGTACACAGGCTCATACACCTAACACCGAAATGGAGCCTCCTGCTTTGTTCTTCATGGTAGGAGCACCTTCCAGCCCAATGCTCCTGCCATCAGACAAGTCCTCTAATGGCTTTGCCCTTTCTGTGGCCATTTCTTCCTTTCGTTCTTCTTCCTCTCTCTTCCTTTCTTTCCTTTCAGTTTCCTCCTCCTTGCTTCTATGCCTGTATCTCTAACCCACAGACTTTCATATCTCAGTATATTTTAACATCAAACATGGAATTTTCTTAACATACAAATACCCAAATTTACCTCCAAGCCATGATTAGAAGTTCCCAAAACAAGACCTCAGTATATGCATTATGAAAAAGCTCTTCCAAGCCATTCTGATGCCCACACTGGAGGGCAAAAAGCCTTAAAAAGCTAACCTCCTGAATCCACATGGTGCTGCTATGAAGCATTAGGTTTCAACCAGGCTAGGCTGATAGTTTCCATAGGGAAAGAGGACATAGTGTCTTCTACTCTGAAGAATGCATTTCCCTTCAAGTCCAAAACACAAGTCTCAAGGACTGTGGAAGGAGCAGTTAGATTTTCAAGGATAGCAATGAATGGAAGCCTTAGAGGTGGGCTTATTTTAAACTACCAAGCAGCTGGGTACAAGTATGTGAGGAAAAGAATAAGTCATTAAAGCATTAAGGAAGCAATTAATTCAGTCACCAGCTATAGCCTAGGATAGAAGGGACCAAGGAAGTGACTAGTAACATGTGGCAGACACCTGCCTCCCATTGGGATGGTCTTGAGTCTGCTTCTCCTCTCCTCTGGCTTTCCCCCATTGTTGTTTTCCATTCTCATGATTTTGAAGAGTTAGTGGATTAAAAATAAATCCAAGCTTAGTCAAGTAGTACTTGAACATTGCCTCCCCTGTGAAAGCCGTTGGCCTGCATTGGGTGAAGTCCCCAACAGGCTGAACAATGTGCTTTCAACATATCTTTTACCTCATGCCCTGTTCTCAGAGTCTGTAGATAAGAGGGAAAGGAGGGGCTGTGGAATCTGAAAACTAAACCAAACCTCAGGTTCTAATGTAGTTTTCATGAGAAATGACCTCTGAAGCCAAAGACTTTCCATTTATGCTCAGAATGTCCACATTTTTAAAAAAATATGGCAAGTAGGTGGGGGAATGTGATCCAATGAAAGCACTAGTCTTCTTTAGGAACAGTGCAACACCGCAAGAGGGAAGACTCTGATGTTGTATTCCATTACATTGGTTTCTACTTCTTTCAGGTTTGTTTTTTAAACCAAACATCCCTAGCCATCTGCATATATTTGAAAACTATTTGTCATCCATGGTTTAGGCGTGTGCCTCCTGAAAGATCCAAAAGGCTACTGCATCAGGCTGATCTGCCCGGCTCTACCTGTGAGATTCTCAGACCTGGTATGAGAACTAGGGTCAGTCTGCAGTGCTACACATAATGCCTTCCACCCGGGAGCCACATCACAATTAGATAGCATAAACATCAGTCAAGTATCTGCTCTGTGCTGACTTGGTACCAGCATTTGAAAGAGTCTTGCGCCCACACGGAGCCAGAAAACATGGCCACTGACCTGGACTTTGCCACACCCGGACCCGGTCCACGTGAGGATTGTGGGAAAAGGAGGCAGCAGCGAGAGGAGCTATCATGCTGGAACTCATGCTGCTGGCACTTTAGGGGTCTAGGTACCCCCAAATAATTCTTCAGCAAGAGAATTCCATTGATCTCCACTCTCTCAGTGCCTTCTGATCTAGGTACCCCAAGAACATCACACGCTGTGTACACAGTGGATACTCTGGCTTGTGTTTTCCTAACTCACACTCACCCCACCCCAGCGGAGCCCTCCTCTTCCTGACGCCACCCATTGCCCCCACATGGGTTTCTCCATAGTCAGTATTTCTACTGATCTTTTACAAATTAAAAGTTGAGTTCAAAAATAAGGTTAGAAAGAATGCTTAATGAGAAACCACAGAAAAGCAAAGGAAAAAATTTAAATCATAAATAATGTCATAAATAATGTATCTGGAATTAGCTTTTAGCCAGCCAGAGATCTTATGAGCCAGAATCTAGGATTTAATTTTTTAGTACATTGTAAGTCAGTTGTCAGCTCCATACCTCATCCGTTACACACGTCTAGATGTGCAGAGAAGATATCCTTACAGAGTTCACACACACACACACACACACACACACATACCAGCTGCTAATTTTCCTCAATTATGTCACAAGTCTTTTGCATACAAGCAGGATAGATTTGGATGTTCTAACCATATTTTTCCACTCCATCTTGCTTTCACAAAGCCACCTTCTTCCACCATATAATATGGAACAGAAGTCTGAAGACATCAGAAAAGCACAAGTGAAGGTAGTAAATTCTACTGATGACAGAACAGTTATTCTCAGGCAAGAACTGAGAAGAAAATCCTCACATTATCCAGAAGCCACTTCATGGGGGCTCAGAGGAGGGACAGTTTTAGTTACTCCCGAAGACTCCAGCCTTCAACTTTTAACCTGCCCCTTCCCATCACCCACTTAGTGTCCATGCTGCTTAAAATGGAGACCTCTAGCCCACCATCACCTGGCAGTTTGTAAACACAACAAGGAAGAGTTTAGCAGCTCTCTGGGCCTTTGTTCATTATTTATTTGTTTGTTTTTATTTCATTAGATTAGTTCTTATTATTCAGTAATTCAATTTAACACACATTTTCTGAGCATTTACCATGTCCCCAGGCTTCACAGCATGAGATAAGATGGGGTCC